CATAATAAATATACACAGTACACACACATATACTGTGTAAACAAACACTTTTATTTTGGATGCGATTAATCTCGATTTGACAGCACTAGATAGCATTATTTTTATCACAGAGACTGGATATTTTGGAGACTTATTTCGCATCTTTTTCACATATTCACATTTTTTCTAGTCGTGTTCATGGCAAACTCTATAAAACAGCATCTGTTACAAAAACTTAAAAATGAATATTAATTATGTTTTATATGTATTAAACATGTATTATATGTTTTGTGATTTCATTAGGGATGTAACGATATCAAAATCTCACGATACGTCAATATTGCGATATGAAGTCCACGATTATTGCAATATTTAAAAATAAAAAGACAAATGAAGAAATGGGGGGAAAAAATTAAACATCTCTGTTAACTAGAATAAAGCTGATAAAGCTGATATAAATTACTGAGCAAAATTTAGAAATGTTGCCTTGACTAACTGAAATTAAATAAAATTGAACAAAAAATTAATAAATAAAAACTTTAGGCAAGGCAAGGAACATAAAAAAATGTGGCTAATAGTTTTATTTGAAAAACGAAAGCTAATAAAAATTACAAAAGCATGTAACAAAACTGCAAAAAATAAAATAAAACTGAAAATATAAAAATAAAATCTAATTGAAAATATTAATAAAAAACATAATAGTAATATATAAATTATACTAAAATAAAAAATACCAAATGAAAAAATGTAAACTAAAAGAAAATTAGAAATGTTGCCTTGGAAACTAAACGAACAAAGTTTAAGTTACAGCAATAAAATTAAAAAAAATTGTATTAAACAATAATAGTATAAATATACAATGTTAAAAGTATAAATAATGCTAAAGTCTGGTATAGTGTCAAAAAAGGAAAAAAAAAAAGTCTTATACATGTTCTGACATGTCAATAAATGCTTTTATAAAACCAACAATAGAAGTGCATTTGCTGCAAAACAAAAAGTTGTTTTAAAATAATTTTGAGTATGTAGTTTGGAAAATAAATGTCCATTTAAAGACTCCATATCATTCAGTATTCTGACGTTCCTGACTCTGAATCAATTTGCAAGTGGGCTACTATGAGATGACGAATGATCTTACATCACATTTACAATCTACAGTCTTTATTTTATCAGTAAATGGACCAAAAATTTACATTTAGTCATTTAGCAGACGTTTTTATCCAAAGCGACTTACAAAGTAGAAGCAATCAGACCAACAAGAGAGCAACAATATACAAGTGCTGTGACCAGTCTCAGTTAGTCTAGCACAGTGCACATTGCTAGGTGTTTTTTTTTCTTTTCTTTTTTTATATAAATAAATTAGACCATTTTTCCAATTCTTCATTTGACTTTTTTTTTCAAATATTGCAATAAATAGCGTGTCGTGAACTTCATATCGCAATATTATCGTATCGTGAGATTTTGATATCGTTGCATCCCTAGTAGTTTGTGGTGTGACCGCAGCTGTACTCATGTATGAGCAGACCTTGCGTCTCTTCTTGTCCGTCTCCTTGTACAGGTGCAGTCTGAGGCTGCGGATGGCCGGCAGGTTGTTGAACTCGAAGTGTTCGCCCCAGAACACGGTGTCTGTGCGCGGTTTGCTGGTGGTTCGCGCGTACAGCATGTCATCCAGACACAGCTCGCAGTAATAGCGCTTCTTCGGAGGAAGATCACGGGCCTCGATGATCCACAGCTTCAGCACGTTATCAACACGACGGCTGTTATCCTGCAACAATATTAACATAAAACAGATGCGTTTATTTACAATGCTTGACAAAGGTTTATGTACTTGTTAAGTGTAGAGCAGGGTTTTTATCGTTAACTAAAACTATTAAAAACATCTCTGTTAACTAGAATAAAGCTGATAAAGCTGATATAAATTACTGAGCAAAATTTAGAAATGTTGCCTTGACTAACTGAAATTAAATAAAATTGAACAAAAAATTAATAAATAAAAACTTTAGGCAAGGCAAGGAACATAAAAAAATGTGGCTAATAGTTTTATTTGAAAAACGAAAGCTAATAAAAATTACAAAAGCATGTAACAAAACTGCAAAAAATCAAATAAAACTGAAAATATAAAAATAAAATCTAATTGAAAATATTAATAAAAAACATAATAGTAATATATAAATTAT